AGATTGGATGTCACCAGTACCTAAAGTGATACTGTTAGCATAGATATATCTTTTTGTTAAAATTGATTTATTGTTTATCCTTTTAAAATGTCTTTTATTTTATGTCAATTAACATTTGATCTTTCTTCGTTTCCCTGTTGTTCCCTGATAGTCCGGCTGCTGTGATTTCTTTTTCAGAGCGGTGTTGTCAGGGGACAGTACAGACAGCACATGTCTGTTGATCTGTTTTTGATGAGTCAGTGGGAGGATGACCGTTGGCCTCTCACACAGCTCCGCTCCCTCAGGCTCCTGAAGACTCCACTCATCCCTCAAACTCTTTTCTTAACCAGCAGTAAGGATTTTAAGATTTCAGTCATATTAAATCCAAATTCTGTTCATAAAAACTAACAAAATACATTAAATTACACAGAAAAGGAAAGTATCACTATTATACATCTGTCTCTCGTCACAGAAACATCCGAGGGATTATTTTCTGTTACCTTAGGCCCGTTTGCACCTGACGTCTCCATTCAGAAGGTGACTATAGATGGTGGTGGTGACATTTTAACCTGGACCCAAAGCCACCAAACGCGGAGTGACGCAGACGTTGCGGTTTCCAGACTCTCCTACGTCAACGGGAGCGTCTCCTTCCAGCTCAGTTTCCTGTTGTCACACCCAAAAGTAATCCCAGAGGTGAGAAACACGAAACACAATATGTCTCTGTCATTTGGAGAAGAAAAAACCATGTGAGACGATGTACGGATCTGATCCCAGTTCATAGGTGCTGGTTATAAGACGTACAGCATCACTTTCATCTTCATTCTTAACATCTCACCCAATAAAGAGGTGTTATACCATCAAGTCTCCACTGAGCATAGCGTCGAGTACACGGGTGAGTTATTCTTTATTTTTGTTTTTTGTCATCTACCATCACCAAACTGATGATTCAGACCAATAATAAGTGTATGTCACTGGACTGTAGGTGTATATATGTCATCACTGTAGCTGGATGCTTTTTGTTGTGGGTTTTCTATCCTTATATATGTACATGCATATGTTCCTATCTTTCTTTTTGATTGATTATTAGTTAACTCAGTACAGCTCGATGGAATTTCAAAGGTCACTCTGACATCACGTCACTCTCTAATTTTGAAATATTTACAGAAAAATGTCTGATACGATAAAATGATGGGAAGTGATGAAATTGTATCCACAAAAGGTCAAAGGTCAGCTTCATTTCTGGCCATTATTTAAAACCATAACATAAGAGAAAGAGAGCTGGTGATTCTTCATGGTTATTCTAGTTGTAGATAACATAAGGCCATTGATTGTCTGTTCATCTCATTATGATATGAACAGAAATTATGTAACAATAATATAAAAGTGCATTAAACTGATAGTAAATGGTGTGAAATTCTATTTGCTAAATAACCTAAACAGTAGTAGTTAATAAAGTCTGACCTCCTCTCCTGCTGCAGCTCCAGATTCACCCAGACTGGAGGGGAAGTGCACAGCGAGCAGCCTGCTGGTGCTGCTGCATCACGGGGCCCAGGCCGAGCTGCAGTGGGAGCTCTACCTCGGCACCCGGAAGCTCGACTGGGAGCTGGTGGAGATGGGCGGGTTCGTAGTGGAGGCTCAGGACGACTACTTAACTGTGGAGATCCCTCTGTACAGCCCTGGGATGAACTATGAGGTCAACCAACCCCCCTGCAAACAAACATAATTAACTTTTCAACGTTCATGCCCTTGTGATTTACATTTTATCTTTGTTTTCATCTTCAGGACCATATTGACTTTTATCTTATTTCAGTTGGATAAGTTGAATAAGGTTTAATCACTCATGTCCATCGATTTAAGTCAGATGCAATGACGCCATCAAGTGTTTTCTCTTTTTCTCCCGTGTAGGAGTTGACATTGTGGAGTGTCGTTGCCGGTGTGAATGTGTTCGTTGTGGATGCTGAGTCTCTGGAAGTACGGGACAGCCTTCTCCTCAAATGCACGTTTGCTGTGACAGAACTTTTAGGTATAAGACAGAAGCTCAAACTGCAGCTTAATCTATGTTTTAGTGGTTTTTCATAACATCCCTCACACTCAGTTTGTCTCTGACAGTGTGTTTGCCAGAAGGGAGGATGATGGCCGTGGTCGACACCACCCACACCATCCCCCCGACTCACCCCAACCGAACCACTCTGCTGGACCCCAGCTGTGCTCCCATGGAGACAGACAGTGCCAGAGCTCTGTTCAACTTCAGCCTGGACTCCTGTGGGACGATCGTCACTGTGAGGGAATTTCATTATTCAACCTCCACTCACAAAAACATACTGTCGGGCCTCTGCTCTGATCTCCTCCTGTTTCTTTAGACTGAGGGGAATTTCCTGGTTTATGAAAACCAGATCCGCTACAACCAAGATTTTCTGCCTCTGGATGATCCTGTTATACACAGAGATTCTCCGTACAGGTGAGGAAACAACCCTGAACTCTTTTTGCTTTTAGAAAAGCCACATTAGTGTTATGTTAGCGTCACGTCTTGTCTGTTGCAGACTGACGATCCAGTGTCGCTACCCTGCAAACAAGAGCAGCACCCTGTCGCTCCAGTATCCTGTGTATTCACATCTGGACCTTTCACCCATGATGCCGGTCAATCGCACACGCAGGGAAGCAAACACAGGTAAATATGTGTGTGTAGTAGTATTAAAATAATTTTGATCTACTCATGATTTGTGAGAGTTATCTGTAAAAATGTGTAATACATAAATTCCTCCCTGTCCAGGACAAAGAAAATGGAGGGTGCATTTGTAGGATCAACAAGGTATTGGTGGTGTAAAACTATTAAAATCATTAAGTGTGCAAAAATGTTTTTTTGTCTATTTCCCTCTGATTGTTCTCAGTTCAATAATTTAAATACAGTATTTGATGATGTTTAACCTGTGTCTTCTCTTTTCTGGAGTTTCAGTGAGGATCACATGTTCTCATCCTGCTGGAGTTGCATTTATATTAAGTCTTTTTTTTCTTTGAATTTTGTATCTTCTCTCTTCATATATATATATATATATATATATATATGAAATATTTCCCTTCTGTGCTTTGGTTGAAGTGTTCATTAAAGAATTATGATAAATTCTAACGGAGGCTTTCCATGCATGGTTATTTTCTCGAAGTTATTTTAATTATTCAGTCATAGTTATTTTCTTGACACATGACTTCCCAGAGGTGAATTTAGCCTCTCATGATTGTCTTGTTTTTGTCTAATGAGAAATAAGTCATCTTCTATTTAAACATAGAATAAACTGCACATGAGCAGCATTCCATTCGTCCATTGTCTTCGATGGACAGGTGACTGTATTCTTCGAATAAACCGTGCATGACTGTATTTCCCGGCCGAGAGCCTCTGATTTGTGGCTGAATTAACCGCTCATAATAAGAAACTCATCGATCACACTGGCACCATGTGGTTCTGTCTCCCTTACCTGCTTTTATAAGTTATTAACTTGACCTCATGAGGTTGGACGTGAAGTCAACTCCAACCTGATCAGCTGCTGGTGATTGGACGTCACTGTGATTGCCAATGAGCTGCACATGTGTCACCTGGAGGCCTCTGATTGGCTGGTGAATGAAGTGACCTATAAAGACAGGTTTAAGGAGACAGAACAACATGGTGCCAGTCCGATCAGGTTGTATCAAGCAAGTGTTTGACTTTAGCTTGTGTTGGTCAGCAGGTGTAGTTTGCTAGCAGCCAGGCTAGCTTTAGACACTGCCAACACATCAGCAACTATGGCTTTTGGGTTCAACCTTGGGTGAGACTCTCTGATTATCATTTCCAAGCACTTTGTTGACCTGTTGCTTGATTTATTTACATGTGGGTTTTGTCTTTCAGGTTCGCCCTGCTCTTGTCTATGTGGTCAACTGCAAAATGTGACCAGATTCCCAGTGGTAAGAGTTAAAGGCTGCAGACACACTTATCTCCAACCATTGGCATACATTAAGTTCTCATTGTTTGTTCATACAGGAGTTTATCGTACAGAGTGTCATGATCGCTACTTCATGATAGCTGTTGATCTCTCCTTTGCTGGAGTAGAACCTCACTTTGAGGCTGTTGGTGAGTCCTGTACACCCAGGAAGTCCAGTGTGAAGACCCAATAGTGAATCTTGAATGAAGTTCATGATCTGCTTCTCTTCCAGATAGAACAGGCGCATACCTCATCACTGAGCAGTATGCAGCTGAGTGTGGCTACACTGTCAGTGTTCTCCCTTTTCAGGGTTACGTGGAGCTCCGAGCCTCGTATTTCAGCTGTCAGACTGAAAACAAAGTACACACACACACACACACACACACGGGTCTTCTGCAGCCAAATAGGAATGGATTTAGAAAACCCACCAACATTTTCTACTGTGTCTTTAGGGTGATGACGTTTTCACATTCAACTTCAACCTGATCACAAACCATTATGGTCAGTCAATCACCTATGCTTTGAATGAGACCTGTTCTCTCTTGCTCCCCTGGTCTCCCAGAGAGGTTACGTGTGAGACCAACTACATGGAAGTAAGTTTGTTTAAACTTTGTAGTAACTTTTGTAGTAATGCATTCTGGGATCAGTTTAAAATGCTTGCTAATTGTGGTTTCTGCTCAGGTATCTGTGAGGAATACAGTTACCTGTCCAGCTCAGACAACAGATGACTGGAATACTGCTCTACAGCCTGTATGTTTGAATCTGTCAATTGACTGTTAGTATGAGTAGAATCCAGGCCACAGCTGTTTTAAAATGATTCATCTTCCCAGGATTATGCTTCAGCCACCTCAGACTGGCAGGTGACGTTTCAGAGAGAGGAGGAGCAGATGATTCCTGTGAACCTCTCTGAAGCTCGCACACATGGCTATGTGTTTGACCTGACAGAGGGACGGCTTGTGTTTCGTACACCATATGGACAACCTGACTCATTGAGCACCGAGGTAAACCACAGCAGTTTTATCATCTAGTTCATAGTGTTTAATTCCTCAACCCTAATTGTACCATCAATCGGTAACTACAGTGTTTTAACTTGTGTCTCTCTCCAGGTGAATGGTGTTCCAGTAGAGGTCGTCCATGCAACTCTGTTCTCCAGACAAAGCTGGGTTGTCCTCATGGTCGACCTTGTGGCTGCTTGCTCCATGTGTCAGTATCACTATATTTTATGCAGTGGCTTCTTTCCCTTGACGAACAAAAAGGTTTTAGATTGGTGTCTTCTCCACAGCCAATGGATCGTATGATGAGGGTGGATACATGTTGTGGGAGACTCCTGAGGTGTTGCAACCGCTGGTGTCTGGTCTGACCAACACACAGGTCAACATCGGTGTCAGTGGTGAACTTGTGGCGCAGCCTGTTGCAGAGGAGAGAGGCTACAATGTGGAGAAGCACAATGGCTCAGTGGAGATCAGCATCCCCTATAATGCTGAAGGAGGATACAGGAAGGTGAAGTATAGAGGAGCATATCAGTTGTGTTTATTCTGACATGATGGTGTGTTAAACAAAATATTTTTCAGAGCTTTTTGTCTGATGAACTCTATGAGTACTACATCTTCCATCTCTATCTGGAGCTAATCTCAGTGGATGAGGAACATGTTGACTCCAGAATTCGCTATCACAGGACACTTGCAACTCCTCTGCTGCCACTTCCTGTTTTTACAGAGAACCGTAAGTTTATCTTTGACTTAACATTTATTAAAACAAGCTCCATCTAAACGTCTCTTTCATTTCAGGAACAGTCCTCGAGGAACGAGTGTTCACAATCTACCTGGGAGATGTTCCTGAGGATGTTGTGGTCTCTGCTGTTCAGCTGAACGAACACAAATTTATAWCCAGAAATGAGAGAAGRCAGAGCCTCACAAAGGTTGTTCATCCCAACAACACCCATGGCTACACTCTGAAGGTGCCTTTTGATGACTCTGTTGTCATACAGAAGGTAAACTGTCTCTAAACCTCAGGCTGGTTTTATAAATGGTGCTGTCGTCCATCTAAATCTGTAAGAATCTGTATTGTTCTGTCTGCAGTTCTCTAAAGAAGATTCAGCTATGAAGCACATACTGGAGGTCAACTTCACACTGACAGTTCTGCCTGAGAATGATTCTTATTTCTACCTGACCTCAGTTATGGCACTATCGGATGTCTGTAAGTCACAAACCTTGTATTTTRACTCTGTCAAACCAAAYAGAATTGAGTTATTCATTCTACWTTATCCATCAGCTCCTCCGGAGTTTGAGGCTGTCTGTTCTGAGTCTGGCATCAGCTTCAAACTAGACCACCGGCCTTCTGACTARCTGTGGTACATCAGRATCGCTTCTGACSTGCTGACGCCAGAACTGGCAACCYAGAACGGCTACATCATGACTAACAATAGCCAGAGTCTGCTGATCGAGGTGCCGCTCTTCACTCAAGGATTTGTGTACGAGGTACGATGAGGAAAACTACTACTACTACAGACTCATACTGCAGGGAGCCAGTTGTTTTGAACATGTCAAGCTATAACCAAGCTGTGTTTTGCAGGACATTGCTCTGAAAGGATTCCTTGGTACTTTTGAAATCCTCATTCGAGATCATGAAACATCAGAGGTCCAGAGTTCAACCGTGAAGACGTGTCCATTCACWACTGCRGAGTTCATTTGTAAGAGCATCCTGTCTTTTACTATGAGAACAAGTGGGGTTTGACACATGAACTAAAAGTCGTCTCTCTGCAGTGTGTTCCACTGATGGCAGGATGACTGTGATGGCRGACCTGTCTCTGGCCAGCTCAAGTGGAGGAATCCCTGCTAGAAGCAACCTCCTGAACACATACTGTGGACCCAAAGAAGCAGACGACACCAGGGCTCTCTTCTCTTTCCCCCTCAACAGCTGTGGATCCATAATAAAGGTAGAACTGATTACAAATGTGGCTGTAACTGTAATTTACCTTCACATGAATATGCTTATCGTTTACTTTAAATTCTTGTCTGTCCAGCTCGGAAAGGAATATGTGACGTACCAAAACGAGATTTCTTTCAGCAAGAAGTTCAGTCTTCAGAAAAATCCATCAGATTCCAGCAATCAGTTAAACGGGTATAAATCATCAACTTTCATTTATTCATCCCTCTCTGAATTACTCATGACTGCAACACTGAATTTGTCCTTTAGGATTAAAGTGCAATGTACGTATCCTCTGGCTGGGCTCCATCGTCTGTTCTCGGTGTACAAGTTTGATTCTGACACTCCCGGCACCGGCAACATTGTTCGTTCTACTGAAGGTACAGTAGGTGGTTAACTCGTCAAATTGCTTAAATGTTGTCTTTCTCCAGCTTGCTCCCTGACTTATTTGGTCATATTGTATTCTAGTTGTACAGCGACCCACCATGGAGTTCAACACAGTGCTGCAAACTTCACTGCCCCCCACCAGACGCACAAATCCCATGTTTGGGAAGCCTGTTCAACACATTAAAGTGTCCACGTATCTAAAGAATCTTTCGAAAGGTCAGTTATTTAAAATGTAGTTTAAGTGTGAATTCTAAGATGTTCATTAACCTTGAATTCTCTTCACAGGAGCCAGAAATCCATTGCAAGCTAAAATGACACCATCTGTTTGATTGTGATTTAATGAATTAATAAAGTTTGTTTAAAAATACTCATGTCTTCTTGCTCTATGTAACTTTGAGTGGGTACAGTCTCCTGGGAGAAGTATGGAACTGACATCACAGCTTGTATTGTGAGCCACTTAAAGAGTAATGCTGAACAGATGAATTAAAATGTGTTTGTCTATAAAACAGCTTTTAAAAATATTAAGAATTCTAACAGTTGTGCTAAGCAGTAGCCCTGGTTCCGGAAGCTATGGTCAGGGGTAATATCCACTTCAGTTTATGGTTCAGCTAGTTGCTATGGAAACTTTGCAGTCCATAGAATACTTAACTAAAAGCCGCAATGAATACTATTCCACCAATGACTAAGCTGCAGCTTTATGGTAACTAAATTGGTTTTACAAGTCATTTCTAAGATCGTTTTCAAGTAACTAATTCAGAAAAGAGAGATTTGGATTTTAGGATCCTCTGAATCATTTACCTTGATGTAGTTTTAAAAGGTACAAAATGGTCCCAATTATCTGAGCCAAGTCTAAACACTGCAATTGATGGTGGAGTTTCTGTTTTTTAACTCCTGATTATAAATTACTCAAAATAAAGTTTTGTTCTGGTCTGCCAAGACTCTTAACCACCCAAGAAATCACAACAGCCAATCATATGCTGTATTTTTCTGTGCTCCTGGGGCTTATTCTGAATTTTCTTGACTGAATTAAAGTTCAGTTAAAGTAACTGCATTTTTACAAACTGTTTTCATCAAGCCTAGTTCTAAAAAGTTATTCAGTGACTTTAATATTCATGTTACTTTCTTTTCTCCCCATGGACATGTAAAGCATTAGGTCTCTTGAAGGGTGCTATATAAATTCAAGCTATTAATGTTGTGTTTATTTCAACATTACTCATTTGCTTTCAGTCTGTACACTCGTATTCACACACTTCACCTTGTACTATTACATGGTGTCAAAAAAAACTTATCAGACTGAATGCAATTAATGATAAACTCCTTTTCCTGATGTCTACCAGAATGCTGTAACTTAATTTAACTCAGTGTCATCCCTCAATAAAACAGATATTTTAAAACCCTAGCTCCAGAGATTGACCTTGTTAGGTAGCTCTATAAACTCAACATTAGACTCCATAGTGTAATTAAAAGAAGAATGTCAAACAGATTAGTTCCCTGGTACAATTCCAACACACAAATTAAAACAAGTGTTAAGAATACTAGAAAAGTGGCACTCAACTGTTAAACCACAAATCCTGAAAAGATACTGTTGAGGTATAGAAGCAAGAGCTGCCTATTGCTTCACATTGAAAATAAAAACCATCCCAGGTTTCTCTTCAGCACTGTAGCCAGGCTAACGAGAGAATCACAGCACCACTGAATTTCATGACATTTATACATGACAAACCATTGGTTAATTGTAATTTAGTTGGTTGCAAGTTACAGCACTGAGATTTTCTGACCAATCACTTCTATAGTCCTGAATACAGGCATCAGATTGCCTCTAGTCCCATGGTCAAACCAAACAGCACACAAGGATTTCAAATTACTGCACTATGTAGTTCAAGCTCAAATGGTCTAATTGTGCCTGAATGCAGTCTAGTACTCATGACAGATA